CCACATGAGCTGACCAGGTCCACCCTCCCTCCAGCACCTCCCATTTGCTTCTGCATCCCACCACCAGGATCTAGTGAACGTACCCACCTCCTCAGAAGACTGAAGACCTGTGCTGTCCCTACCCTGAAGCCCCTTCCTTACAGGATGGAGAGGGCATTAGAAGCTCCCTGTCATTGGGCTGGGAGCGGGTGGTGAAAACTCCTTCTGCAGTTCTCTCTCTCTGTCCCCGTTTCTTCCCTGCCCCTCCCCGCTCTGTCTCCATGAGGGGTCTAAGAATCCATCCTTAAAATCCCACTTGCAAACACAGTCATTGTGCATTTTCTCAGCACCTCAGTGACTCCTTGCCCCCATCAGATTCTTCGGGAGTCTGCAGTGACCTCAGATAGGTCCCATTCCTACTTATGAAGTGGCCATTCTTACCAGGTGTGACCTGCAGGGAGTATGCACCCTGAAGATGGACCCTCAGGCACCCCCTATGGGGACAGGATGGGGGGTAGGAGGCAGGCTGGGGAACAACTAAGGGACTTCTGAAGGGCCTCTCTGAGAGGCACTCAGCAACAGCCCCTCAGCAGCCTCCAGGTCCCCTCTAGCTTACCACAACTCTCCCTCCTACTTTCTCCTCCATTGTTCCCAGTCCCCTGGGGCTCAAGGCCCCAAGATTCTCTTGAGAACTTTGAAAGGAATGGAGGCAGAAACTGGAAGGCCACAGGCATGACTCCTCCCCTCAAATAGCTATGAGGCCTCCAGCAAGGTTCTACTTCCTTGAGCCTCAACTTCCTCATCAGTAAAATGGGCACACCTCACCTGCCTAGAGGGGAGGTTGTAAAGATTAACCACATGGCGCTGTGAAACATTCAATCTGATGGCAGTAAGTTCTCAACAAATGTTAGCTAACAGCGGCATCATCACAGCTTCTGAATAGTCACTGAATAAACAACTGAGAACAGAAGAGGGGTTCTAGAGCAGGCCACTCAGAGGCGGGGAGGCACCCCTGCCTAGACACCCAGCACCATTCCTAACACAGAGGAACATGCTGGAAAACAGCAACAGCAAAACCACATAGAAATTGGCACCGTTCGAAGCATCTCAGTGCTCACAACAACCCCCTGAGCCTCTGGGCCACTTTATAGATGAGGACACCGAGAGGTTAGGCCAGGCTGCGATCGCAGAACCAAGCAGGCCGGCCCTGAGCCTGTGCTTCCAGTGCCTGGGCTCAATGAGATTGCCCAGGCTGCCTCCTCCACCACTACAGGACCCAAAGGCAAGGCCTCTGGCTTCCTGCCCCCACCCTGCTTTGCTCAACCCATAGTCCGTTTTCCCAGAATTGGACCCAGCAGCTATCTCACCCACCAGGCCACAGAGGGAGTGGGGATGGTGCATGGATAGCTGTCTCCATAGCCAGAGAGAAGAACAGCTCAATGTACAGATGCCATTGATATGCCAGGCTCAAATCATGGGTGGAAGGGAGGGGGCAGTCCCCTCCCAACTAAAAGCCAGGAAGACCTTGAGCCCCAGCCTCCCCTCTCTTCCAGGGAGGCCCAGAACGGCCAGGTTGACCCTTACCCCTCCTCCTAAGCAGCCTGGTGACTTTGGAAACAACTCCTGGGGGCAAATCCCCGCTTTGCTACTTATGAGCTGTGCCATCTTCAGTGCTTGGCTTTCTCAGCCTTCATTTTCTCACCTGTTAAATGAGGATCATGATACTCCTTCCCCCTCTAACCCCAAGCTGTTTTGAGGACTAAACTGAGATGATACATGATCTTCCAGAACATGAAAATGTTTGTTAAGACTGAATGACTGACCAGATGCTACCGTTCCACTTTTAAAGTGCTCTGGCCTTGGGGCTGCAGGGGCACCGTGGCGACCCCTGGCATTGAGTGGCTAGGGTAGGGCAGTAAGAGCTGTGAAACCACACTGAGAGCAACCACACAGGCCTCAGAGATGGTGCCTGCGCCCGCCCCTAGCCCAGCACCCCAGCACCTGCCCAGCTTGAGGGCAATCATAGACTCTAACTATAGGAGCTTTGCCAGCAACAACCCAGATTTAAAAATATGACTACCCCAATCACGAAGTCCCTAAACAGCCAGGTGCATCACCTCTTGATGAGGAAAAAGATGAAAATGGCAAGCAGTACACACAACCAATCATGCAGACACACCCCACAATTACACGGTCTCGAACCCCACATGGTCTCACACTCACCCACACATACACTCACCCACACAACCTCAGAGACAGCCAACCACACATCCCAAACTCATAGCCAATCACACAGCCACAGTCAGTTTCGCATGCCCCATGGCTCAGCATACAGTTATACCTAGTCACAAAACAGCAAATCACTCAACCTCACCCACAATTCCCCCTCCGCTCCCACACACAGCCATCCCCGCCACCTCACAGCCAAGCACACCCAGAGCCTGCCACACCCACCCCCCTCACGCTCCATACCTTACATATAGCAGGCCTAGCTTCTTTTGCAAAGCTCACAGGTAATTTGTCATTTTCTCAAAACATCCCATTGAAAGCCTAGTAACTGGGCTGGGGTTGCTCCCAGGGCCTCTGCCCACACGAAGGGTGTTTTGTTTCTGCTTCTTTGCCTGCAAAGGCGCACTTTTCTTTAGCCCAGAGCAGTGTCCGTGGCTTGGCAGCAGCCTGTGGACACCCCTCCCCCTCACCTCCTATGCCTGCCCCTGAAGGAGGTCTAGGCAGCTGCAGTGCTGTGTGAGGCAAGATGGCCTGCCAGGCCCCTTGGGGATCCCCAGCAAGAGTTCCCACAGGGCCTTGCAGGGGGCATATGCTGGACCAGCCTGAGTTCTAGGTGGATCAGAGGCCCAGCCACATGCAAGAGCTGTCGGAGTTCGTCCCCCAGGCCCTTGCCCTCAGTCTGCCTGTCTGGGAAATAAGGGAAAAGAGAGGGGAGGTACATGGTCTCCCCTAACCCCAGCACTCTTCCCCCAGCCAAACTTGTCCCCACTGAGTCACTGAGGACCCAGGGCATGTCTGAAGGTCAGCCAAGGATGAATCTGGCACGGTGGGATCTCATGAATCACAGCAGGTGGGTAATGGAGACATTTGAGGCAGGTGGGGGGCACAGTCTCTGTCTTTGGCAGGCCCTGCCTGACCTACTGGTCCAATGAAGGTTAATGGCCTGGTGGCCTGAAGATGGTTGAAAGGGACAGAGGGAAGGAGGGGAGATGGTCCCTAAAGCAGAACAGGAGGGCTCCGGGTCAGAGGTAGTGGACTTGAGAGGCAGTGGGAGGCTTGTTCCCTAGGCCGCAGGGAGGCTCCAGGAGCATCTCCAGGGAGAGGTGGGGCCCTCAAGCCAGGCCCACTGGGAAAATAAGGAGAAAGAATGGAAAAGAGCAATCAGAAGGAAAGAACTGAGGATTGAGTGAGAAAGAAGGCACAGGGAAGGCAATGACCACAGAAGCACAGAAAGCTCATGACCTTACTGGAGGAGAACACCCAGCCCTGGGACAGGGAATGCATGCCTGTCCTCACTGCATCTTTCAGGAATAGTAATTGTCATCCACCAGGCCCCACAGGGACACATGCCAGCATAGGGCGGCAGAGGGCCAAGCAGGGACCACATCTGCCGGCCCACTGGCCTTGTGACCTCAGAATCCCAGGCCCTTCCTGGGGCTGAGGCGGGACCCATGGGCCATCCTGTAAAGCTCAGCCCAGGAGGGCCCTCAGAGGTGCTTAATAGCCAAACAGCAGATGCACCCCTGGTGACTCTTGCACTGCCCCTTCCGGAGGCTGCCTGCAAAAATTCCTGGGCCGGGGCAGGGCAGGGCAGGGGCTGGGCTGCGGACCTGGAGCAACCAGCAGCTGGGCCTAGCCCATCACAGAGTAGAGGGACAGCTGGATCTTGACTTGCACTCCAAAATGCCCAGGCCAGGCCTCTCTAAACGAAATTTTCTTCTTTCACCCATTAATTTTTATATTGTCTCAAGACTTTGCAGATTGATAAATCCACACCTCAGGATGAAACCCGGGCAGAGCAGTTAACTGAGTAGGCAAATGGGAAAAAACAAGAGGCCAGAGCCTGCCTCCTGCCACCAGCTGGCTGTGTGAACTAAGATATGCCCTTCCAGCTGCCCACTGCCTCCCTCAATTTCCCCATTTTTACCTTAATGAGGTTAGATAATCCCAGGGGTCCAACTGCTCAAATGTCCTGAGATTTTCTGGGAAGACTACATGTGATCCTAAAACCAAGCAGCCCCACCAGCCCTGCAGGGCCTCTGATGAAGGCAAGGCCTTAGTGCTGCCATCCTCCCAGGGACACGGGGAGACCAACCGTGACACCTGGTCTCAAATGCCCAGAGTGCCTATCCTGACTGTGTGACCTCAGGCAAGCTCTGAACCTTTCTGAGCCTCAGATTCCAAACTCTGAAAAATGAAGATGAAACCATTTCCCAGAAAAGCACGATACAAGGCTGCATGATAACAATGCATCATGGGTATCTCAAGTCGTACCTGCAGTTGCGGTTGCACAGTCTTTACTGCCAACCTCCCCCCCACCACCAGCTACCACCAGTTACAACCCCCACAGGAAAGAACAATTGGCATACTCTGGCCTTGTTTATCCTTCTACCTCAAGGTATTAGCCAGTCATCTCTACAGGTAAATGGAGGTAGGCATGGAGGTCAGATGGGCTGCAGCCTCCCAGGTCTTACATTTCCTTCCAGGGATAGGGGCTTAACTGGTACTTTCGAATGGTAATAGATGCAGCCATAGTGAAACATAATTAGTCTTGAGACTAGAAGGGTAAACAAATGTGTAATTCATGAATTTGCTAATTGTCCTTCATTTTGATCTTCTGCCATTTTTCCTAGACTCTCTGACTGACATCATGCTGGTAGCGAGGACTCAGAGAGTGCCGGGAGCGGGCCACGGAGGCAACTGGCATGAAAGCTGGCTACCTGGACTCACCTTCCTCCCAGCCGCCATCTCCAGCCCAGACCCCACCCGCCAGACATCACACAAGGCAGAAAGCCGGTGGCACTCAATCTTTTATTTTCTTAAACTGTACACAAATGTAAAATACTTTAACAGCAAGTCTATGGGAAAATTGTTTGGTTTTAAATTATTATGAAACAGAACCTAAGGGGAGCTTTATTAAATAAACATAAAGATGGAGATTTAAGGATACACACCTGCATTCTACCATAATCATTTTTACTCTACCTTCTGGGTGTGTGAGGATAGAAAAGACACGTCAAACTGAATAAACAAAATCCATTTATACCCTGAAACGTTGGCAGGCCACTCAAGGGATTGTTCAGAACATCTACCTCATATAAGATGGCCCCACCATCTAATAAAAATTAAAACTGATCTGTTGGCCTCTTTGGTTCCAAAATTATGTATAATACATTTAACTGTATTTTTTTTTTTTGCTGCTATAAAAATAACTTCTTTTTTCAAATGGCAGTTTCTGACTAATCATGCAACTAAATCAGTGCAAACATTAAAAGCAATCATTCGCTTAAAAAAGAAGCAAAGGATTTCATTTCAAGTATAAAAAATATAAAAAGAGTCGTACGAGTCCAGTTTTGTCTAGTATGGGTCAACCCTTTAAATTGCATAGTTCACGCGGCACTTGGACATTTAGGGGTGAGCGAGTTCAGTGCTCTGCCAAGGGCCACTTCTGGACACACGCAGATGAGCAAGTGCTATATCATGTGCATTCAGGCAGGTCTGCAAGTGCTAAGAGGGGCTGGCAGGCAGGTGAGCTGGCGGGGGCCATGTCCATGGCCAGCTCTGGTGGCTGGGGCCTACACTGGCAACTTCTGCAAAGCAACTGAAAGCCTTTCCCATCTCTCCAAGACCGGCTAAACTGCTCCCTTCCCTCACCCCCTGCTGAGGAGGCAACCCCCACACCCAGCATTTCCAGAATGCCTCCACCTCACCATTTCCTTCTCTGGTCTAATCCCCTTGCTTAAGGGTCATTTCCAACCCTCCCCAAACAGTCCTAAAGGAATATCCCCAGTGCGGGGCAGAGATTGCAACTTTTTTCCCCATTTAGAACAATTCAGATTTTAACTTAAAAGATCATACCTGGTAGAAAAGTCCTTCTTCAATTATACAACTGGAATGAATGATCTGTCAACTGCTAGTGATCAGTTAAAGCATCAAATTAAGATCCTTCTCCTCTCCCTCCCTCCCCACCCCCAAAACAAACACACATATAAATCACGCCAGGGACCCAAACTACAAAGAGTCACGGTCACTGCCATTGCTCCATGGTCTCTGGTCTTCAGCAGGTTGTGTCCTTTCTGGGCCTCCTTCCCTCTACTGGAAGGAAAAAGACAAGCTCCCCTGGTCCTGCTGCATGAAGGATCCAGGCAGGGAAGGAAGCAGATGCGTTTGAGCCAGGAGATGCTAAGGCACAGCGGGCCTTGCACAAGCAAAGGGGGCCACACAGCCCTCTGCCTGCCTGCACACTCCCCACCCCCCAAATCTGCTTTCTTCTTGGTGGCTCCCCTGCTCACTTGAGCTCTCCTCTCCTCTGTGTGCGTGTGTGTCTCTGTCTTTGTGCTTTTATGTGTGCTCGGAAGGCGCGATTCAGAGTGGCCGGGCCAGCTGGTAGGAATGGTGGCTGCTCACCCCATTCTCTCCAACTGACAGGCATTTGTAGCTAAGCTGCCATTTGTCACCGCATCCATTTGCTGGTATCCTGGAGGCTGCTGTGTGGGTGGCAGGATGCGTCTGGCTGTGCGTGTCTACGTGTGCATTTTAAAGTATTTCATGTCAGTTGAGGGTTCTTGCTCTGCTTTTGACTGATTGCTGGATGAAGTAGTAGAAAAATATTTCGGGCCTCACCCTGGCACCTTCTAGGCAGCCCAACTTAACAGCCATACTCAGCCCGCCACGCACCCCCTTCCCACAGGGGCTGCAAGAAGCCCATCCGAGACTGTCCTGGCGCCCCACTTCCACAGCCTTGCTGCATCAGGCACAGCCACACTCTTCCACAATCATGTTGGGCACGTCCCGCTTGACAATGTTGTACTCGTCGTCAAAGTAGAGCATGGACATGGTGCTCAGCTTCGTGGGGATGCAGCAGGAGTTCACCGTGCCAGGATTCAGGCCCCGCATGCGGTACTGGTTCACCACGGCCGTGTGGAAGGAGGAGGCTGAGCCGGGGACCCCCGCCAGGTAGGCCGGGCAGCTGCCCTCACAGTAGTTCCCATAGTAGCCGGTGGGTGCAATGATCCAGTCGTTCCAGCCGATGAGGCGGAAGTCGATGAAGAACTGTTGCCTGCAACAGAGGTTGGTCCGGCCATCACACTCCAGGCCTCTCTTGCGAATACGGTGCCTGCTGTCACCTAGCCGTGCCTGCACAACCACAAAAGGCCTGTGCGACTCTTCGCCGGGGTCCACGAACACAGGCACCACAGCCAGTTCCTGGCAGCCGTCGCACTGCACATCCAGGTTGAGCCGCCGCTCGCCCCGCTCAAACAAGGCCTGAATGGCCTCAGTGAGCGGGAAGGTGTGCCAGCCGCTGCGCTTGAGGTCCACCTTCTTCTCAACCACATTCCACCTGTCTCCGTGGCCCTGCTCCTGGTAGTACACCTTGACCCGCACCTTCCGCCGACTGCCCTTCTCCAGGACATAGGGCAGCAGCTTCAGGTAAAGCCACAGGCTGGCCTGTACCACAAACAGGTTCTGGTTGCCTTCATTGGAGATGAAAAAGTACAGGCGGACTCGGGAGGAGGCGAGGCCATCTGCAGAGAAACGGGAGAGCAGGCCAAGTTAATTCAAGGAGAACACGAGGCAATGGGGGAAATACACTCTCTGCTGCATGATGCTGGAATGCTAACTCGCTGTGCAGCTGGAAGACGTTATTGTCCAGAAATACCATTCTTGGGGCCAGGGCCTCTGACTGTAACCTGGGAGAGGCAGAGAAAATTGTTTCCCATTGAGAAACATGGACCAGGTCGGAGCTGGAGGATCCAGGTCTATAAAATCCTGCCTCACCTCTCCCAGGCCAGGGTTCCCTGGAGACAGGCTGTCAGGCCTCAAAGCTCCACAGAGGAACTTGTCAGGAGGCCAAGATCTTAACAAGTTGTTATGGGTATCTGTGAAATCTGAAAAACAGAACCAGGATCACACCGAAGATTTTGGGGTGGGTTGTTTCAGTAGAATGTGTTAGGGTTTGTTGTTGTTGTTGTTGTTGTTGTTGTTGTTTTTGGTTAACTTAGGGCATTGCAAAATCCAGCCGAGCCACCTACAGCCTCTTTCCAGTGTTTACCTAAGCATGATCTGATCCAACCCCCAGTGGAACCTCCACTGCAAACAAGTGAGCCCTGCTCAAATTTCTGACACAGGAAAGTGTGCTTTGCAGACTGCAAAGTGCAGCCCTCATTTCCAAGTAGTTAGTTCCAAAGGACAGGACATTCAGCCTTAAAACTTGAGGTCCACTCCTTTGATGAGACCTGGGCTCCCCGTTAATGGCACGTTCAAAATCTCCAAGGAAAGGGGGAACTGGCTTGTTAGTATTCTCAATAATTCGGCTCAACAAGAAGAGAGGCCGTGCCAACAGAGATGATTCCTCTCTCATCCTACATTTCAGCAACAATTCTCTCTGACCAATCTCTACTTTTTTTCTTTTTCTTTTTTTCCTTTTCCAGGAAGAACAAACAAGGCAACTGTGTGGCCTGGCTGGTTTTATCAAACCTCCTACCAATGCCCCCTCCATCCCCCTCCTCAGGCCTCGCCTGGCTCCTCTAATAACACTGACATCTGACTTTGAAATGGGGAAAAGTGTGCAGCCTTAAAAGCTGGTCTTGGACGAGCTGCCTGTGACCTGAATCTGTTATTTATAAGTCAAAGAGCTGGCTCCGCGAAACGGACCAGAAATATAACAGCCCCCGCTGTCATTTTGTGCCACCGGGACCAAAAGGCCTCCTCGACCTTCCAGAATCACATTTCTACGCTGGGCCCCAAAGCACCTTTTAATCCAAGCTCTCTAATTGCATGTCGAGCTTCCCCTGACTGGGTCGGACAGCTAAAACAGCAATGCGTTTCTTTCTAAGCGCAGACCAAGCCCAGATTGTCTCTGCTTTTCTCCGCACTCAGCTATGCAAAACTTTTCATCCCTTTTCATCCCTAGGCAGCACTAGCACAGCTTCCCTGCTGCCTGGGAGGGTGGAGGGCATTTGCAGCCTGGGGACCCAACTGCTCCCCCACCCCAGGCTCCCTGCCCACCCCCACCGTGCCCATACCAGGGCTTCCCCCTCTGCGACCTACTCTACTCGCAGTCCCCTCTGCGCAAATGAGGCTGAGCTCCAGGCACAAAAGCCAGCCTGGCTCATTGAAGTCCTGAAAAGGACAGCGGAGTCGAAAGCACTTGCAGCATTTCAACGCGGGCACATTTTCCTTCTTTTAAAGTTCGAAAAGATTTTTTTTCCCCTCTCTTGATTTTTATATTTAGACAGTAGTAGAAATTTGCAATCCAGGGCAAAGGGAAAATTCCAGAAAGGACTGCTATCCTTTGTTAACTACAAACTCTGTCTCTCTCTGACAAGGGGGTTGCTGCCGCTGCCACGCGAGCCGAAAGGCACGGGGCTGTCCCCGAGCCGCGTCTTTCTCTGCGTTAAATGATGGGACCTGTTGAGAATGCTGCCTTCCGCCCGATTCCGGTGCCCACACAATCGGAACAG